TACTAAGACAATGCTACTGTATAGAAATATTTTTATGTTTGTCGTTTTCGTTTTATAGAAATAAAATATTGAAAATAATTAGAATAGTGTCAGGATTTAATCCTTACAATATAGTTTTTACTAATTACTATATAGTAGTATGATCAAGTATATATATAGTATGGTCAAGGGAAACTCAGAACGTAACCAGTACTATTTAAATGTACTATACAATCTAATAACTCAATCACATAGATAAAAAGGCTCAATACAAAATCTGGATTCACATACGATTCTTTTCATATATATTATTATAACAATATCGTTTACAAGTAAATCTTTGCTCTGTAAAAATACCTCTCAAGGTTACATAATTAAAATATCGCGTCTTTTCCCCGGTAGCTTGCAAATTAAATGCACCGTACATAATCCAGTTAATAAATCGATAATCGGTGAATTCATCGCTTTTAAAGATCACTCAACACAAACGAGTTTTAAAACTATTGCAATTTCCACGTACCAGTGAAGATTAAATAAACTGCGTACGAGCAGCTGGCCCGTTTAAAGTTTACATTAGTCTCAGCAAAGTGTAATAAAATTTAATTTTGCGTATCTGTGTTAGAACACGCGAGCGATAGGTGCCTATCGGTAAACAGTAACTAGGTCTCGAATGAATAATGTTTAATCTTGAGATGACTATCGTCACCATTTGCAAAGCTTCAATTTCCACAGAAGCCGTGTAATGCATTTAAGATTGAATATTAAAATCGGATAATATAGCATGATTAATGAGTGAAAATATTCATATATACCATAACGGTTTAAAACGCGATATATTAGTTAACTAATATAAACAATAATATAAATAATATATCGCGTTTTAAACCGTTAAAGTGTTTTATTTAAATGTGTACTACTTGCGTAAACTATAGACAGTATGTATTACATTATCTTGGTCTCATTAAATTCGTGTGCTAATTGTTCTTGCTTTATTGGTTTTCATATGACACCAAGATTTTTTTCAAAAAATAATAATTTGGGTACAAATATTGAAGCTGGAGTTGAAAAATTTGTAAACATGAATAAGGTGACTTAAGGGTACGGAAAAGTAGTATTATGAAGAAATTTTTTGTCGTTGCGCACCTGACAATCATGCTGATCGTGGTAAGAGCTCACGAGTTGACTGACGTACTCCCAAACCTCACCGGGGGCAGTCCACGGCGCTGGAGTGGCTTCGTGCCTCATCATGCATCACACAATCACAGTATCACCAGTGAAATACACTTAACAAAATCCGCAGGTACCACACACGCGAACTGTATAAGATCTATTTATATTGTATCCTCAATCACTCGCAACTAGGTCGCGATCCACATAGACGGCCTCACTAAAGCAGTTTGTAAACAATCTTCTTAACTTCACAAATGAGCAATTAAAGATTTTTGTTTTTATTATATCTCACAGCGCAGTGAAATGAGTAGGTAATTTGCAGTGATGCGCGCAATCACAGAACGAATCCATTGGTTCAGCACGAATGCCAGTGATAACGCGCGACCTTCAGCCGGACTAATAATAATTGATAAGAGAATTTCGGCGGTTCGCACGCCTCGCGAATCTTACGTTTATCACAGTTTATACTTTCCGAATAAAAAAAAAGTGCCACCGCACTCATTACGATGCGGTCACTTGAACTCAAATTTTTAGTTCGTCTAGTATAGACTATTGGAATAGTGGATATTATGATAATTAAATTATTGCATAATATAAGTTTTTATTCACTTTTTTTAAAGTTACATACAATAAAATTAAAAGTATAATAAATCACATCACACAATCACTCGATATTCTCATTGAAGCCGCAGATGCGAGGAACGCGTATCGTAATATTGTGCGCGCACCGCGGCATCGCGTACGCAAACGTCAGGGCGGGACGCGCGCGCGCTTTGTAACGAGCTAACTAATGGTCGGTGCGACGCGTATTCGCGACCCCCACTCTGCCACTGTTCGCGCTATCAAACCAGTTTACGTGAAAAATTTTAATTCCTCAGCGCGGGTGACGACCGGTCGCGCTTTCCTCGCACCGGCCTCCCCCGCGAGGAAAAAGCGCAGCGCCCCCGGGGCGCACCGGAAGTGCACGGTCGCACGCGAACTAAACGCACCCACCGCCTTCATTAGAGGCACGCTGCATAGTGCACACCTACCCTCAATACAATAATTACAAGCCTTACCATTACCTAACCGTATCACTTCATTTACAGATTCAAACGCCAACAAGGACACTATTAAATATTACATAATCAAATAATCATCAACATTCTTCAACATACACGTCTTGCACAACAACAAAAAAAGAAAGGGAATTTAAGGAAGGAAATTTGTTGCCGCATTAGTATAGTGCCTAACAAGAACGAGCCATCGCCACTGTTCATTTAAAAATAGAAAAACCCAAATATAAAAACAGTTCAAATAACAATAAAACTTAACCGAATGTGAATGACCGAATTGTAGATTTGTCGTAGGCGTTGCTAATTTGAATATCGATTTTGCACGAATAGATTAGATTTTAACATTTTTAATCTTATTTGCGTGTGAATTCGGTGTAAGTCCAGAACAATCTATTATTGTTTAACCCATTTTAGCCTGTGTTGGTAAAACAAATATAGCGATGTAGGGCGGTGAGAGCTACTAAAAATAACCAGTATATTAATAACGCGTTAATTACTTTTACATTTGAAAAGTAAGTGGCGCATAATTCATCGTAATGAACTATTAATAATAATTAGAAATGACTAAAGGTTAAGCTAAACAGTCAAAGCGGCAACGACTGTGGAATCGATAGACGAAATAAGGTCAGGAATGCAAACGTGGTACAACTTTCTCGTTGCAACATAAATCAGCCGATTGAAATGACTGAGTCGTGAAAACAATGATTGTATAAACATTAGTCTAGAAGTTGAGAGAACATTGAGCGCGGATTAGTTGCGTAAAATATGCATTGAAAGTTGAAGAGCGGATAATACGGCGCAGCTATTGATTGGTCTCTACGATTATAAAACTGCTAAAAATGAATTTACCGCAAATAATAATCAACTGTTGCTGTGTGTTCGGGTCTGCATCGGAATGTTTGGTTAAATTTCGTTTATTGTTCTATACTTTTTGAAACAATTACAATCACGAGATATGATACTAGAGATTTGAGTGAAATTGTTTGATAATACCAGAAAAGAAAAAATCACATACACAAAGGAAATACAATCAAACTATTTTGTATACGTGCTGCTTTTGTAAAATTACATGGGCAGTTTCGAAACATCTGAATATCGCGGACGTCCCTGGAGCCTACAGAAGTTTCGAAACCTACTTGTCAAAAATCGTGGACGTCCCTGGACGCCTTACGTAGAGGTGATATCTACTTTCATATGACTTTGACATCCAAGCAGTAATTTGGCAGCTAAGTAAAGACGAAAGCAGTTACGTGTAAACAACAAAATTATATTTTTATCCGATGCGATACAGTACATATTACACAACTGCGACGTATCGTTTATTCACAAAATCATTAACAATAAGTGCTCCATTTAAGCCCGACTACGATTGTTAAATAATGTTTTTCAAACTGGTTACGAGTATTTGTATTATATGGTAACGCTTAGTGGAGCATAGTAAATAAAACACGCATGAATATAACTGTATTGGATTAAAATACAAAGAAATTGGGGTACCTTTTGAGATCTCGATTGAGCCACATCGGTAACCCTTCTTATTCATTACAGTCCCCCTAGCTTTGAAATAGGTATCGAAGGGTAAGAAATAACTAAATGTAAAATATTCACTTACGAAACCGCTCATGATTCAGAGAAACACGTACAGTGCTTAACACTTACAGCCATTTGTCATGCAAGCCACTCATTAATTTTTTTCAGGAATTACCGAAATATTTAATATGTACTTGGAATGAACATACTTCTGTACATCCAATTTGCAAGTTAATTATACCTATAAACTACTAGTATTAGAAAAATCTATTATATTATTTGCAATAACTTTTAACAACTAATTAATATATGTATAACACAATTGAAAACAATGAAAAACAAAAAAAAAATATTCTGAAATATATATGCAGACTAATGTATAAGTAACTATATATAAGAAATATATACACATATACATAACTATAGTTATCCCACTGTTTTATGTGTCAGATGGGGCTGGAAAAAATATGTAACTGCTTCACATAAAGAACTTATTATCCATAGTCCTGTGACCTGTTTAACTGAAACTGTTCATCATGCAAACCCTGGATGCAAACATAGGTTCTCGTGAAAATGTGTTAAGCCATTAAGGCAGAGGTGTTTCCTTGTATAACATAATAAAATATCTCCGTGCAATAAATGGATAAGATGACAGATATTAGTGGTACATACATATACAATATAATAATACAAGACAATTTCTAATCAGTATTTTTGTTAAATGTTTAATATAGATTATTGTAATCATTGATATGGTGTAAAGTAAGTATGTAATAATAAATCTATACAGAAGGACTACATCTTCAACAACAAGCAAGCAATAACTCCAAGTTATTCCTTGCTTCCAGAAGAATAGAGGGCATTTTTCTTTTAACTAGTTCTCTTGCATAATACAGCACTTCAACTAGCCTATTATAAGCAAACAAACTTTGTAGTATTCCACATTAACCAATATCATTTGTAATTAATTTGGAATTGTGCCAATTGGACTAACGCTTTTTGTTAAAGTTGTATAGTAGGTACATAAAAACCTTTTCATATAGTTTGTTTTATTACTTGTTACCTGTCTAAAGATAATTGCTTCAACAAAAAGTACATAATACATCATTTTCCACGTAGCCTTTGTACTATAACTTTTATGTTAATAATTGGATGTGTTTTAGTGAAGTCAATATGTAAAAAAAGGTTTTATCTATACTGTTTTATTAAGATTCACGTTATTCATATTACTGTTAAAATATTAAAACAGACTAACTAATGACCTACCTTAGTTCGTTCACGTCCCTGGCCTCTTTTTCCCTCTTGACTTGATTCATCACATTTTTTCTTCACATTAGAGTTACTCTTACAAATCTTTTCCTTTTTCGTGTCTTTATCACTACCTTCACTATCACTTTTAATTGTATTCCTCTTATTCGTTTTTGATCCAGAGTTCTTTATAGGTAGGGATTTTTTAACTGCCTTTAAAGGCAAGTCATCTTCACTTGAAGAGGCTGATGAACATTTACTGCATGGTTCTGAGCTAGAACTACTATCAGACAACTTCTTTTTCGCTTTTTCCTTTTTAGAATTTTTGGATGTGGTATCATTGCTTTTCTTTTTCACTGGTGGCTTAATTGCTTTCTTAGGTACTGCTTTTCTTGGTATTGCAGCAATTTTTAATTTTAGCCCTGTATCACAAGAAGTGACTGAAAAATGCGGTTTGCGATTATTGGGTTGTGTTGTACTTGAACACTCCCAGTCACTTCCGGATGTGTCACTAGAGCTATTCTGTAAAACAAAAATATTATTAGACATGAAAAACAATTTATATACTAAAGAGCATCATGACATACACAAAACTAACCTCAGAATCACTGTTAGAATCAGAATCTCCACTTGAATCATGGGTTTTTGGCACCTGTGTGCCCATTTCTACAAAAATAATGATTTATTTATTAGTACTTAAACTTTTAGGTAGATGTAAAATATTGCATAAAACTTGTTTCAATATTTCCTATCAGAGAGATGAGAAATTAACAATACTTTTAAATATATACTGCACCTGTACCAGGTATTGTTTATATTTGTTTAGATATTGTAAACAATTGCTTCCATAAGTATTATTTAGATTTTACAGCATTAGCTAAATAAAAACTTGAATACCATAACCCTACTAAATGACAATCAAAACTTTCTGTCTTCAATCCACTTCTAAATTAAGATCATAGGATATGGGGTACTCACTTCAAGGTTGGTCAAGATGTTCCAAAGCAAAATACGGCGTATCTCTTCATTTCAATCTAATGATGCATATGAAATCATTATAGAGGGCTGAAATGAACGAATAAATGATTAAGTTTACGTAACCTCGCGCGTATTTTGGTCATCTATTTATTGTTTCATAAGAATCTCAGTTTTATAACAATTTGTCCAGATGACAGATCTGACGACACTGGTAAGACCAGTTTTTCTAAACGAAGCAGTATGAAAATTTAGTCACAATACGTTTGAACCACAGTTCCTGCACTTGCAAATATAAACTGGATCAGAAAAGGATCAAAGTCATACTTCTTAAGGAATTATAATTAACGGTTTTTATTACATTGGCGCCAAAGAATGCATACGTTTCTACGCAGATTCATGTAAACCATTTTCCAAACAATGTTTGTTTGACCCTATAAAGAATACCCTTTAAATCAACTGTCACTAATTTTATTATATCAGTCGTAGTACTAACCGGCGAGATGATATTTAATAATGTTAAGTATGCGTTTTATTTGAATCCAAATACAAATTCACATCTCACATTGCTTGGCCTCCATGTTTACATTTTACGTGCATTTTCAATTTTGCCATTTTACGGTTTTGGACTTTACTTCAGTGTTGCTGTTAATCAAATTGAAAAGAAAAACAAACTACCACAACAAATAATAGAATTTGCAATCTATTTTTATTTTTATTATATTTATTTCTTTTCTATTTAAACAATAAACCAAATTGGAATGAAAAACGAATATTAACGCACAGTAAGATTAAAATTATTATTATCATTGTATTTATTCTTCTCATTAATGTTAATGGCATTTGGTTGCTTTCTCATAATATCTTATCTCGATAACAATACCTCAGTTACTAATTGTTAAAAGTCACCAAAATAAAATATTTCGTATCATATTACTTTGTTTAATTTAAAGTCAATTTATCTTTCTGTGGTAGTCCTTTAAAAGTTATAGTAACAGACAACATTATCTGTTACGGTGACGGACATTGACATTTGACAGCTATTAAATGCTGACATGATGGATATAAAAATACATTCTTATGTCAATATGATCTTATTTACCTTTTATAAATTATAAACAATATATTAAAAATATTATTTTCTATATATTAAAGCATGCATGTTATAACCGTAAACATTCAAATATCTAAACGTTTATTGTAATATAATTCTGTTATCTTTATTTTATAAGCGGAAACTAGAAAGTATCAATTTTATTAATGTATTGTATAGTTTTCTAAAAATATCAAATGGACGACTTAGATGCGTGGGGAGACTTATCGAATATACCACCAGATCCACCCGTTATGCGTGAGCTCTGCGATCAATGCGAGTAAGTACTGTCTGTATTTGTTCAGTGTTATAGTTCTAGTTACACGTTATTTTTTTAAGTTTCTTCCTATCTAATAATAAAAACGAATTTTCAGAAGGCCATCTGTTGTATGTTGGTGTTCTGCATTGCCACCCAAAAGATTGCATCCTCAAAGCACTATAATACTTTTACAACATCCAGCAGAGGAGAAGAGGTGTCTGCGAACTGCTCCAATGTTGCAACTTGGGCTGGCTGAAAACAAGTGCCTTATATTTAAAGGGAAAAAGTTTCCCCAACCACGACATGAGAACTTGGAAAAAATTCTCTTGCATGAAAACACTGTGCTGTTATATCCCAGCAAAGCAGCAATAGACATTAAAGACTTAGATTGTAATATTAAATCATATAATTTGGTTTTAATTGACGGTACATGGCCACAAGCTAAGGCCATTTACGCATCTAGCTTAATATTGCAGAGAATAAAACAAGTTAAACTTGTAACTAGTTGTGCTAGTAACTACATCATTAGGACTCAGCCAACTGAAGGCTGTTTGAGCACTCTTGAGACAGCGGCAGAAGCTCTATCTCAGCTTGAAAGAGATCCAATTTTTAGACAGCAACTCGTTGAGCCTTTACACATGTTATGTAAGTTTCAATTAGAGAATGGTGCTGTCACTCACCAATCAAAGGAGTTTTTAATAAAGACAAAAACATACCCTAAGCTTATAGGAAAAAGATTATCAAAATTGTTGAGACAGACTGAAAACTATGACAATGAAAATAAAACTTAAAAAAAATAATATTTCTTTTACTTCATTAAATATACACAAACTGTATATTTACTGCATCTGAATGTCTGAAATTAAATAGGAATCCCATATTTAAATTTGACCTTATCTTAAATAAAAATTGTAGTGGGTTATACTACATTTGAAATATTTATATTTATGGGATCTAGAAAACACATAATTGAGATTTTATTGTAATAATTTAAAAAGTAATTCTATTATCATTTGTATAAATGTAACTTAGTCTCTTTAAAAATGTGTATGATAGTAATTAATTATTGACCAATGATATTAGTACTATTTTGAGGTGAAGAGGAAATTATATTGATAAATAAGTTGGATCATCAATAAATATTTTACCTATAAATAGTTACATATCCCACATCACAAATCATATCCCAGGACAAATTAATGTTGCGACCGTTTCAACGTTAACGATAAAGTTTACGCGATTCGTTTTACACATTTAAATAAACTACTTTTATTAAACTACTTATAAAACATGAAATATATTAGCTAACTTACTATTAAATTTAACTACGGCCCGACGGATGCTTTGTTAATATATTTCGCATCTTAAACCGTTAAGTGTTTTCTTAGGATATAATAAAGGTTTCCATAAAATATGATTAACTTTTTATACAGCAAAAATAAATTCTTGTAGGAAATCTTATCTGTTGATTACATTAATTTATTACTATTATTTTTCTTATTATGGTGAATATATTATATACAAACATGGAATGTGAAAAATTTCTATTTTCTGGTTAAGAATTGCCTTTTTCCAATTCCAACTGAATGAAACTAGCAGTTTATACTGTAGTGCTTAAAGCCAAACAAACATAATGACTAGAGCGTTTTTGTAGGCCCTTTACTACTAATGGATACTTAAGCCCTAAGTAAATTTTTGTAGTGCATTACTAACTTGTAAACACAGTGCCGCTACATTTACATAATATGACTACATTCTTATCCATTGTTAAAAGATAAGCATTATGAAGATGAATATCAGACGCTTACAATACCTTCGGGGAGAGCTCAAGAGCGTTCAACGCTAGTGATTACGAATAATCTGTTGAACCTATCTACGAGTTTACGAGAGGCAAAGCGACGCTAAGCGCATGAGCGAAATAACCTACGCCCGGCAGCCAGTGCTTCCAACATTATTACTCATTCAACACGTATCAGAGCTCCGACCTTTGAGAACCGCGAATAATGACATACCCACACCCATCAATATCACTAGCACACCGAAGTGTGATGTGAGCATATTTAACAACGTATTTAGTGAGAGCCTGTGATAAAGAAAGAAAGATGAAACAAGAAAGTGAAAATTCCGAATTAACCGAGCGAATAGCGGAATTCAAGAGCGATCCAGAGAAACTACGACAGGCCTCTGAGTTTGTAGAACAGCTTATTGAGCAGGCAAGAAAAGAGGCAGAAATAAAACATAAAGAGAAAGAGCGAAGCAAATTCGTAAGTATCAATGTATATTTATCCCCGTAAGGAATATGTGGATGTGATAGGGCGGTAGGTGAGTTTATTGTAACGTTTTGCAATATAGTGCTGGTAGCTTCGTCAGTAGAAATATAGAAGATTAAATACTATCAGTAGAATATATACAAAACGCACTCTGGCTTATGACGTAGACCAGTTGCATGTTAATAGAGCGATTTTCAAATAATTATTCCAAGACACCTTAAAACCTGTTCGTTGATATATATATAAATAAATTAACTATCTGTCTAACATTTTATACTAGAGTGCGCGTGAGTAGATGCTTTCATTTAATATAGTATGTAGGTACTTACAAGGGCAAGTCTAACGGATGTATTGTAAATTAATTGTCAATGGACGGCAGTAATTAACAAGCACGTAGACTAAATTGTTTTGAAACTCATTTCTACTTAGCCATGCCCTAGATTGAAAACTTCAAATAATTACGTGTACTTATTTATATTTCTGTACCAGCTACAGTATGTTTTTAATATAAATGCCCATCCATAATCAATCCATATCAATGTTGTGGGTGGCTGTTATCTCAATATTGCTTAATTATTTGATCTTTATCTGTGCCCTTATCTACTGAACAAATAAATGCTAGTATTATAGCCTAATACTGCTGTTTATTCAAGCCTTTAGTTGACGCAAAGAGAATAGGGTAATATTAGGATCAATAAAAGTGTTTCCTACCTTTCGCTTTACCTATTAAACGCAACTTGGTTGCAGCGTTCGTGACTTTTAATAATATTTTGTATAATATCGACAATTGTAACGTTGCCTTGTAACTGAATTTACATAATAGGTATGTACTTAACTTAAAACTAGGACTCCTATTTTTAGTAAGTTATTATTTTGCTGGCTTTCGCATTCACATAGGGTCTTTTAGTATAAACACATGACTAAATTTATTTTCCAATTGTTTCAGGAATCGCAAGAATTGGGATCAAGTGAGTAACTTAAGTTCTAATAATTAATTGTAACTTTATATTATTAAGTTATTATTACAACGGTGTTTCCATAAAACCAAAAATAAATTACACGATTAAATGTTTCTTTAAAACGAAAATTTAACCCGCTTTTTGTGATCTTATTGGGAATGTTCCTTATTCAAAGGTAGCAGAATTACTTCAGCAATTGGTTGGTAGTTAAGTACTTAGCTGGTAATGAGAGTTAAAAATAACAGAGCGTAGTAAAACGACACATTATGCGTTTTTCTGACGTCACCTGGTCGAGTTTAGGCATTCACAAGAACAATGGAAAATAACGAAGAAAAATAGCTCGCTATTGTGGCATTTATCTTATTGACTGAGATATGAAAAATCTGTCCGTTGGTTTTGTTTCTGAAATAGTTGCATGCGATTCGTTTGTGTTTGCTATTTTAGTAAAGACTGTAGACATCCTTCATCACAATCATCAAATTAGGAAATCTTTCGTTGCTTTTTGGCCATGGCGTAATGGTTTAATAGACGTGGTTCGAATCCTGGGAATAAATTATTTGAAATAGGCAAGTCATAGAAGTCTGGTTAATTATTCGAATGTAGTTAAATCAATTAGTGAAATAGACATTCAATTTTGAAATATTTTTGCACAATGGAAACTGGGATTTCGATTGCTTATTATGGTTAAAATAAAATCTCTAATATGCGATAATAACAGTTTCACGATTCACGAATTTTTTAAAGCGTATATCTGTTTACAATGGGGTGACGTTAAATCAAATATTTGAATGTCATAATATATACCTAACTATTACAGCTTAAATATAATATATCTAATCAAGGCTTTTAAGGCTAGAAGGCAGACATACTATGAGAATGTATCACATGGGCTTGATACGTCCTTGTTGGACCAAGGACGTATCAAGCCCATGTAATAGCAATATATTAATAGTATATAATAGTTTCCACTAAAAATCAGAAAATGATTCTCTAACACGTTTGAGAATCATTTTATAATTTTGGACAATGACATTGACGGAAACATTTATATTCTGTCGGGGTAACAAACCATCGTCTACAGATGGAAAAGCCTGAAACCTAAAAGTTGTTCATTTATATATTTTTGTCTGTTTTTCTCTGTTACAAAAAATAAAATGGTAGGTTCTTTAAAAACCCATTCGGTAGTTTTTGTGTACAAAACGATTTGTTGGAAATGTAATCCAACAACTAGGTAGTATATAGAGATATGTATATTATATTCATATGGCATACTTTTCTTAAGGCGGTCGAAAGATAAAGCCATCTAATTTTATCAGGCCCAGACAGGCATCTTAGTTTTATCGTACTCTGCACTATAAATTGAGACTAAAGATGTCGCATGGAGTATTAAAATTATTTAATACTTAGTAATAATATTTATATATAAGTATAGAAATTTGACCGATACATTTCTTGGTAGTCACAAGATGAAATAATTTTTATGTTTGTGTGAAATATTAGGTGTAATAATACAATATTTTCGAAGTTCGAGCTGTGATCTCTTAGACTAAATCCAGGCATCAGCCACCGAGGAAATGTGATGTTTAATAATTTTCTATTAGTTATTTTCCACACACTTTGTTAATAGACTCTAATCGTTTATTAATTACGTTGTAAGCATTAATATCACGATACAAGTAAATTAATTATAGATTAGTAACTGTTGTAGGATAAGTGATTAACATTTTTAAAGTAAAACAGACACGAAATGGGCTTTATACCAAAATTAAAATCGACATCAAGTATTGTCCGTTGTCTACGCAAATAGTAAGCATTCAAATAAATCACTTTTAACGGTTTAAAACGCGAATTACATTTGTTTATTATGCTTTCGCGACAATGGCTGCTGCAAAATCTTGCGATACAAACATGGAAGGCATTTGCAGCCTTGAAGGTTTATTTATTCTAGAATCTTTCAACAATTGCCTCCATATTACTACGTTGTGAAATTTCACGTGGTTTGCATGATAACGTCTTTTGTGTATGCAGTCTTGTGTACCGTTCGTACACACAAAACACAAAAAAGATTGCCCTTTGTAATTTTATTTCTTACCCTAACATTATTTTACTAGTAGAAGACTCAGTTCTAGGAAATTATTTTGCTAATCACATGACCCCGTTATCTTATTTATTCATGTTAGATTGTCAATACTAGACTAAGACAAAGTTTTGTACGTATTACTCTTACTTAAGTAGGTGTTCAATAAACATGGATATTATAATGCATACACTTAATCTTCAAAGGATAAGTGGTTTTCGTCGGGTCAAGTAAGGCTTGTTCGCACTATAATTACCATCTTATGAACCAACATCTTCGTAATATGGTTATAAAATATGGTTCAAATGTATTATGTATAAAATGCTGATCTTGTATAGGCATAGTGAGCACAACGCTAATCATTATAAAAAGTATAATCCCGTTTCCTCTTGTGCACACATTTTTGTGTCCGCTTCACTGATGGGTTTTATTTACAGGCAAGTAGTTTAGCAGACTTTAGTGCTTTGCCCTATCGAAACATTTTTTTCCCCGGGATTCAAACCTAAGATCGCTCACAATGCTAGGCAATACGCTTAACCAGTCGGCTACAGAGTCATAAAGTATTGAATTTTAATCGGAAAGTACCAAATTGGTAGTAGATTTTGTTGCAACTCCAAACTCTTACTACCTATTTATTCTACAAACGTACATGAAGTATTAATCGCCGCAACTTAATTTAAATTTAAAATATTTTGGTCTCTCCAAGTTGAACTGAACGAGTGGTAAAATGCAATATTTGCCCCTTATCTTCACAAGTTACTTTAAAATTCGTGACAAATGCACATTGAACGGTCACAAAACACATTTGAACGGTTATATGTCCAAATTACGTAATTAACTACGTTACCGAACCGGAGTTAGCACGTAGGAATTTTTAATTTATGTAAAATTTATAACAATTTCTTACTTACTATTAAAACAATTTTATATTTATAAATGGTTTAGTTCCCAAAACGTTAAATATGTTTCTAGACCATATTAAATTTTATTATATAATATTATGTTATAGGTTTATTCCTCTTGGCTCTAGTGTTATAAATATGCAGCTTTACCTTAACGTATACCTATTCTATACAAACGGGATCGATAAAACGCCTAACGCCACCCTCGTATATAATCACCGCAGAGCACCTGTAACGACAGACATATTTTGCAAAGTGCCACATGGTGTTACGAACTTTATTCATCGTCTATCCTGTATCTTATGAAAGTTGTATAATAACTAGAGAACTACGTTCAAGACTTATAGTAAACATATATTTAAAATTTTTCGTGATTGGCCAAATAGGTAAACAGAATGTTTTTTTTTGGTTTTTTATTATATTTTATGGCCTGGTAACGGATTTTTAAGCCAATATGATGAATAAGATAGTCAAAATGTATAAATCAAACCAACGGTTATTCGTTTTTTTTAATATTTGTTAAATATTTCGTAATAAATTAATTCAATTTTACAAAAGCATTTTATTCTATATTTTATACAACGTAAAACGGATAGGTTTATTGATAGTATCCATATATCGTTGTATTTTAGGAAGGTAATTTCTTAATTAAGCGCTTTTAAGGATTTGATTATTATTTATTGCAATGTATGTTTTTAAAAATATACTTAGAAAACAGAAACATCTGAATACTCACTACTCTACTTTATGTAGCACCGTTTCGTTCGCTCAGCCTCTTTACTGAAACGACAGAGGTAGGGTAGACCCAGACATCAAGATAAGTAATTGAAGGTACATAACAGACATTATAAGACCGCTTTTTAGTATCGAATAGAATTTATCATTTTAAATATATTGAATGAAACACGTTTTATCTATTTACTTAACCTTTTAGGATATATAATTTTTTTTCATGTACAATGCAGAATTTCGCGTGTAGGTATATATAGGCCTATATATTAAAAAGTGAAAATTAATATTTTAATAGACAACTAATTTTGCGGAAAAACATGAACAACTTTTAATGTCTGAAAAAAATTGATTATTTTATTTGTAGCTGGTAACTTGGTTACAACGAATAGTATTGATTTTTTTATGATAGAAGAGGACAGTTCTCTAGAATAGTCACCTATAGAGGTGAAACACCATATAAAATTATTATTACGCCCTATTTTGGCTTTGGATATTTGGAAATCCAAAAACGAAACGCGGCTTGTCATCTCTGAACGGTGGTTCGTTATCCGGGCGGAATTGGGATATTCCTATGACCCATTTATTATCTACATTAAAAAAACCTGTCTCAGAAAAAATATAAATTGATTAGAAACATGTTGGACCAAGTAAAGATCGAACCCACTACCCGTTGATTATAAGCCATAACAGAATTGAAATATTTTTCGAGTTTTGTTTTATCGCTACTCGTTATTCTTTACTAAGATGTCCTTACTCTTTGTTACAGATAACACAAAAAGGCGCTTTGGAAGAGCTCGTGGCTTTGTATTGCGGATGTTTGATGCACTCTGCAACTGTACGCAAACCGCAGCAGCCGCCGCACGTACACACGCTCGAAACAATCCTTTTACAAAACGTTAAACTACCGTCACAAATCAAATCGAGAATATACCAGGGACTAGTATCGGTATGTCAGGGACGTTTAAAGTAGGTCAACTTTTAAGAAAATGATACGGAAGTAAACGTGGAACATTATTTACTATCTACCTATATACAAATGAAGCAGTCTTTTACTTTTATGTATTTCCAGACCCAAATATAAAAGAAATATCGCTTGACAGGTCTTTTTTTCGAGTAAATAAAAAGTTGTAAACTATTATGTAGATGTTACTGATTTTGACTGCTCTGTTAATATCACATAGTCAAACAGAAATATTGCTTGCTATTGGAATTGATACTTGAAAGGTTGTTGAAGACGTAATAATCCCTCCCATGAAACATTCAGCAACCAACTTATATGTCTAATATTTACAATGGATTTTGTGTTATGTATATAGGGTATCAAAGAGCTAAAAAATAAAATGTTGATGGTAGGTATTTATGTATGTTTGAGCACCTAGTAAAATAGAAAGTACGAGATTAATAGTCGTTTACGCAGAGTTTGAGCTCTAGCTAATTTCACCAGGAAATAATGGCGTCGTTTAAAATGGCTTTGAATAAATAATTTAATTTCAATCATTAAAAGTCTGGTTACCGAGTTTTTTAGTCGGTGACCTTTAATCAATGTCATTATTTTTTGTTAAAAGTGGGTCTGATTACTAATCGTTCTATTCTTTATTGGTTATGGTAAAATAGTCGCCATAAACAATTATGAAAGGGTAGACATTAATAAAATTTATTGTAGAAAGTAGTCTTCCTATAAGTATTTTATGTTATTGTGATACCTACAATTGTATTCCTAGACGTAGTATATACATGTAGACGCTTAAATTTTTTATATTGTGTACAATAGTAGTAAAAATATCCGAAATCCCATATCAGTGTATTTTGGTGTTATAAGGGCTTAGAATGGTATAGACTAGAGACTACCCACTTATCTGAACTTTCCTACCACCTTCGTACTCGTGCAAATATATTTAGACTGTATTTTTAGAGCTGTACTGTAGTATGTATTTTAACATGACGCACCTGTTTCAGTATTATACTACTATGGTTACCTCATTATGGGCACACAAAAAGGGATATGGGGTCTGATAATAAAATCCAACTGAATTCTAACTCCTAAGCAAAACTGTCATTTACACACTAGGTTCTTAAAGTAGACATGGTGAGGAATATATTTCTTAAGAGATATAATATCTGAGACGTAGTTTTTCAATACCAATCATTAATCAAATTTACATCTGTTTGATTTAGAAAAAATGACTGCAAATCGAAACTTTTGGACTCTGGTTTATGCTGGATTAGGACATTTTATACCTAAAATTGTGTATTTTACTAGACTAAGGATGTGTAGCACAAAATATTTATGTTATAACATTTATTCTATTTTTTCTGTCTTATGCACAATGTTATTCTACAGCTATAAATCTCATTAATTGAAGTAAGATTTATATATACCAATATTTATTTTCTTATACCCACAAAATAGCTGTATCTTTTGTATAAAATATATGTAATCATGAATGTGTATCTAAAATTCTATCGATAGGTAAGTTTCTAAACGACAAAATATTATAGTTTTTAAAAATATAAATGTTAAATGTGATATCCTGCCTGTAACTAACTTCCCATGTGATCTGACTTGCGAATTCTTCTTATCTAATAAAATAATTTTGTGAATAATGCGTTTCTTTCATACTGTCCCACAATGTATTGTATATAGTTCAATAGTCAAGTCTATATTATATGACGTACCAGCTCTGTCAGCGACTTCGTCCCCGTAGAATAGTTATTGAATATCCAAATTTGGTTTTTGCAATCTCTTAATTTATTTTAATATATAGAATACATTAAATTAAATCTTGCAATTTGATCGCTTAAAGAGGATATCCTTTGAAACATATATTTTATGTATATATTATCTTGAACCGTTTTCGTAGCGTACGCAACGGGAACCCAAAAGAATGAATTTATCCGTTTTTTTTTCACATTTTCCGCTTCTATTAGTCGAAGAACTTTTATAGCCTTTCTCGATAAATGCCTAGCTATGAGAAAAATATTTTTTCAATTCGAACCAGTAAACAAACAAACTCTTCGGCATTATACATTAGTATAAATTGTTTTCATTCAGGTTTTGAGTTGTGATTACGCTAATATGAAAAAAAAAATGAAACTCTGCAACTTACAAATTCATTACTTATAATAAAAATTACATCAAAATCTTATTTCCTATATTTTTTATAATTAGGTGACCGGTCTCTGTCCCTTTTCTTCTTTTTCCCTTTTCTCTTCTTGTCAATATCTCTCTTTCCTTTGGAGCTTTTTTTGTGACTTCTCTTTTCTCTATCTGAGTCACTGCTGTAACTACGCCTCCGCGATCTGTAGTCAGACTCGGACGAATTAAGTGAATCACTACTACTATATCTTTTGCTTGATTTGTTTCTCCTTCTTTCTTTATCTAAATCTGGAGAATCATTTCTTTTCTTTAATCTACTACCATTTGAATGGTGCTCTTCATTTCCTTTTCTTTTCTCGTTATACCTCTGACCCGAAGAACTATCCTTTTCAGGTTTTGGCCGCGGGTTTGGTGCCTTTTGAGAGCTTTCATTCTTTTTGTATTCTTCATATGAATCAGCATCTATAGAAAAAAGTACACTTCATAAATAATAGGCTAACAAAATATAGATATTGTAAAAACATATTCCTGTGGCAAGACATTGTCTTTACAATTGCTTAGTAGTACTTACTTATGACTTTAGATTGTTTATCATATTCTGACTTAGGAACAGGCTGCATCATAAACTCGCTAAGGCTAACTGTCTCTTTTTTGATAGGGATTTCTACCATAGCTCGTCCATTTTCTTCATCTAAACTTACTACCTGTGGAGTTAGTTCAAACAAATAAAAAACGGATAGACCTTAATAAACACTAAGTATATTATAAAAATTACTCTTAAGATTGACCATTTCCATAGGTTAATGGTTTAATACTGGTATAGTTAGATTAAGCACGAGGAGAGTACAGACACTCTGGTGAAGCTACGGCTTCAGTCAGGCAGGGTACAGTCGATTGATCAACCATTTGCCAAAGCAACGGACACACTTTATTTTAATTCTCTAATTACACATGAACTTTGCTTATTCTAAAATGCAAGTACTAACCTGTCCATAAAAGCCAGCATATTTTCCAGTAGTTATTCTCACATATGCCTTTTTGATAATAGATAATTCTTCTTCATTTTCCTTAGCGGTTTTCTTCTTTTGATTTTCTTTAACTACTTTGTCTGCTCCTAAGCCTAAACCCTTAGGGCGTAGTTGGGGTTGTTTATATTTAGACCTGAAAATAATAAGTACATTTTCATGTTAAAATTACTTACTGAAAAGCCAGGTTTGAGGAAATGCAAAGTTTAAAAACTTTAGACTTCTTAAAAATTCAAGATTTTGTGATATCAGTAGCATTTTAAGACAAAATTATTAAAACTTAACATTTCTTCAAAATTTTTTAACTTCATAGATACCAAGTGAAGGATTGTGATCAAATCACATAAAATGCTGACTTTTGACCTAATATTTCAATAATAATATGTAGTGATATTAAAGCAATATCTAACACTGACTCACATTTCTTTCCCTGGTGTCCATCCCATTCCTCGTAGCATGGCCATTCCAAAGTCTTGAATTGGAACCGAATCATAATCATCCATTGTAGACTGAAATATACATTTCAAGCGAATGGCATTTATCAAATAGTAAAGGAAAGTAATTAAGTTAATAATAAAGGAGGTAGAAAACGTCTGAAATATGACAACTAAATAAAAACATAATTTAATTCTAAAGAAATGCCATTTTAATAATATTATTTTTTTGTTACTTTAAATTTATTTGCATGCATAGCAATTTTATGTCTAGTGGGTGAACTTACTTCTTTCTGTCCATCTATAACAGGTAGCATTGGTATAGGGACAACTAGTTTTGCCACATCGACAATCTCTTTTTTCTTTGCTTCTTCTAAAAGTTCACGAGCAGCCATTTCCTCCAGTGTTTCATTTTTCGGGTCAACTTTATTAGTGCTCTCAGTGTCTAGCTTCTTGTCCTCTTCTTCAAAGTTTTCAACTTTTTCAGCAATTTGTTTTAGTCTCTCTGCAGTCATTAGTGTGTTAGGCTTCATGGGTATGACAAGCGGTGTTTTTTCTTCAATTATATCACCACTGAAATGAGAAATTTATATTGTAAAATCCTCATGCCGTTATTTATAGTTGTTCAAGCATTTATTTCAAATTTAAAAGTGACTGTTGCATTATTAATACTCACCCCACAACTTTAATTGCCTTTTCTTCGACACATTCTATAAAATCCTTTTTTTCAACTATGACAGGCTTATCCTGTTTCTTTGTTTTCATGAATCCGAATGATATCTTTTTGGGCTCCATGTTTCAAGACTTATAGAAGAATTATATTACAAAAAAAGCTAAGGTATGTAGTATTCAATATATACAATAAAAACTGTTTCACATTATAATCTAATGATTGAGATGAGACATTATGATGAGATCCTATATTTAGTTTCAATACGTCGAAACTTGCAAAACAATATAGCGTCCCATGTTGATTTACTAACTACATAACCCAGAGCATTTACATTTGATAGAATTTTACAATAAATCTAAAACAAAAAGCGGAGGTTAAAATAATACGGATATAAATTGTATACGGTTGTTAAATGTCAATTTGTAACAACATAAAGGCTTCAAAATAATGTCAAAAGTAAATTGTCAACATTGAAAAACGTTCATGTTTTTATTTTATAATACAACATAATCGTATTATATAAATTATAGTAACAGTAGTTAAATTGTATTAATAATATATAGCCCGTAAAAAGGTGTTTACATAAATTATTACATGTATTATTTATAATCACGGCAACGCATAGACGACCTTAGTTTAGACTTACTACCGACAGATAGCGTAAAACACAATATTAATATTTTGCAGTTATAAAAAACTTTTCTGTAAAGATTAATCAATACATTATTAAAACTGAAGTATATTTTAGTTAACCTGAAGGGACATCTATCCATATTTGCAAAAGTAGCATTCATGACTTAACATACCGAACTCTTGAATAATCCATATTAAGCTTATTTGACCTACATCTTAATCAAACACAAAAATAACTAGATTTTGTCTCATAATACTACTTCTCATACATCCGCTATCGGCTCTAGAAGTATACTTACGAGCCATAAGACGTAAGATCTTATGAGGCTATCTGCTGTAAAACTGTCTCTTTACGCCGCGTCGTGTCTTGTTGCGGAAATTTGATTTTACGAATGGACTGTTTTATTACGTTTCTCTAACCCTTAAGATTGCATTTGTCTCGTAAATTGATTCGCAAATATTATCTGTACGTAAGTAGTGGATTAAATAATACGTTTACGAACTGAAGAGTTTGTTTGTTTATTTGAGCGCACTAATCTTAGAAACTACTGGTTTAATTAAAAAAAAAAATTTTTTGCCTTGGTTGGACCACTTATCGAGAAAGGTTATATGTTATAAAACACAACAGGCAAAACATCAGGCTGCGATCAGTACTAGCGAAGAAACAATAGGAAATGTGGAAAAAAGTGGGGGAAAATATTAATCTTTGATGCTTTCATAGCGTGCGTTGCGAAAACGTTTCAATATACCCAAAAAGTGTGTATGAAGGAATGATTCCTCTTTAAATTAAGTAAAAAAATGTGTGCGACAGTACATGTCTATTTTTTAAGATTAACAGCTATAATTGATAAAGATGAGAAGGAGGTTTCAAAAATCAATCGTGATGCCCAAAACATTCTACGCGGACGAAGTCGCGGGCACACCTTCTGTATTATATATTTGCATTATAATCACGAATTACAGGTAATCGATAGGCGTTCAAAAATCTCCTTACATCAGTGATATTATTAACAGGACATTAGGCTAATACACGATTATTATCTAATACCAATTTCCTCTATTCCCCAGAGTAAATAGCAATTCGGGTCAGACATGTTTCATATCCCAAGTTGGGTTAATCCGGGCTTGTAAGGCTATGCAGGGCCAAAATTATTCATGGCTGTCAGTACAATTTCACTTTATTAGTGCCCGCTTACTTCTTCAAAAGTTTAGATTTACTAAACTAAATAAAAAGCATGATGTTTTATATAAAACGTTGACAACATACGAAAAAGCCGTGAATTTTATTCGCGTTTCGGTTTTAATATTTGGATTTCCGAAAATTCAATGCCAAATGTTCATGTTGTCATTTTTATAAGGCTGCAGTGTTTTACTCATCTAATCTAATAAAAATCTCCTGTTATTATGCATGCCTAGTAGACAAGAAGGTCACGAGGAAAATTTTTTTTTTTTATTGGTTTGTAACATATTGGGCCCGGGGCCTCGAATGCTAACCGGACGTTTGGGCGAGCACGCCAGCGCTCGCCATGTTTGCGGCTAGACCAAGGGTGCCCCGAAGGGGGCGTTGACCTCGGCCTGGACCGCCGCAATGGGGAATAAAGCTGATGCCGCAACATTGTATGGGGCATACATATTTCGAAGTGCGTTTCATTGATCGTTTTGTTTACAGGCAAGTTGGTGTCGCAAAGCAGTCTCAACCTGTTAAAATAACATTAATCACACTCAAGTTTTAAACTAATAAATAAAAAAACAGAAACTAAAAAAAGAATTTTAGTTCATTTTAAAGTCGCCATGATATGTCAATCTGATTAAATTAAGCGACATATTTCGCGTTTTAAATGGTAGTACGTGTTTTGTTTAATGTTTACCACTGGCGTAAATCCCAGACAATGTGTTGAAATTCCACAGCAGCGTGCTAAACTTGAGAAAGTGTATGATAAATATTGAACAAGATGTTCCACAGATTGCCCTCAGCTACCCTTTAGCTTATTGCAGATAAGCTAACTACTTAAGTTACTAGTACTAGTAGTATTAAATAACAGAGATATCCAATACCCATCGTAAAGGCAGATAGTTTTAAACTAATATCAACAAATCTATACTCTGTGATACGCTTATATGCGAGTAATATGTATTTAAGGCAAAGTTAGTTGTTGAAGTACTGTGAGGAGTTACAGCTTCCTAGATCAATTAAATAATGTTCCTTAATGCATTCGGTTTCCAAATTCAATCTTGTCTAATTAATCTTTAACTACTTTTCAATTCGAAAATGCAATATGTATGTTTAATGATGTATATGTTTTTGCCTTCCACTTTTGTATAAAATACTGCACTTACCTATTACAACAACTAAGGAATTGCTGAACTGTTAATAATAAAAGTCTTCCCGTGACCATGGCTGCTGCAAAGCATCCGAAACTTCGGGCCGAAGTAAAAAATCATTTTCAAATAAGTTTAACTAATACATCGCGTTTTAAACCGTTGAAGTGTTTTATTTAAATGTGTACTACTCGCGTAAACTGTAGACTGTATTTAAGTTAAAAATTATGAAAAAAAATACATTTTTATCATTAAAATTATTTTAACTACAGTCCAAGCTTTGCAGCAGTCGTGGTCACGGGGAGACTAAAGATGGACCAGTTTCGCCAAATAACACCTACGGGGCCGTAGTTAAAATAATTTTCAAATGAGTTTAATATATTTCGCGTTGTAAACCGTTAGTGTTTTATTTAAATCATTTTTATTGCTTACTATAAGAGATAAATACTGAAACTAGGCTATATTTTAACTTCAGTCGAAATTTCTCTTCGTGAAAATGTCGTCGGGCTTAAAGTTTTAAGTAAGCCTTCTTAATATTCTGAACGCTTTTCGTTTTGAAACTCAAGGTCGTACCTGTGAGCAGAATAAAATAATGAGATACAGGTGGAACGTACTGCATTTGAAGACAAGTTTGATGAAATATGTGACGTTGTATTCAGTAAGTATCTACGTGAAAATATTGCCAAATGTTTATTAACAAGCAAAACGTTGTATTACTTATTATTTTAATTTTACAATTTATGACGACACACCCAAAAAAGAAATAGCAGTATTTAACACGACAAATTATGTTCAAAATTAAAAGAGAAGATTACATGTTACAAAAATAAAGGTGGCAATTTTGATGTTTAAATATTTTCTATCAGTTTTTAGTCCCCCTGCAATCACAGTTGCATCTGAAACGTCGGGTGCTACCGTTTAAGTTACCGACTACGTTTTACGGATTTCAAAACAGTAAAAATGTTTTATTTAATAGGACAATATATAACTGTTATATTTCTTATTCACACAGGAAAACGGGTTTCGGAGCGACGAAATAGATGCCGCTAGTCTAGTAGTTTTTACTTTGACATTAGAGACGCCCTCCATCTTTAGTCTCCCCGTGACCACGACTGCTGCAAAGCTGCCAAAACATCGGGTCGTCGTTAAAATAATTTTTAATTTTATTAATATGTTTTGCGTTTTAAACTGTTAGTGTTTTATTGAAATGTGTACTACTCGCGTAAACTAGTCAATATTTAGAAAAGTTAGTCTTTTCATAATTTTCGATCATTCAAAATGCATAATTTCTTATTTAGATATTTCTTTATATTTAAATATCAAAAATAAAATTACAAGATTGTTTTCATAAAACTGTTTTACGCAATAATAATAAAACCTTGTACTCTTAACGTTGATAGCTATTCAGAATTGTCAGCAAAGTAATACGGTTCTATCAGACAGCAACAGAAGTCGGATAGCTAGCAGTCTTAAGTAACAACATTAGAGATTTAAACTGATTTTACAGCGCTTAAAATCTCCGTAGCGCAAAGTAGTTGCTACGTAATATCTGGCGCAAATAGCTTCTTCATAATATTAATTAAACCTCGTTACAAGAATAGTTGTTAGAGATTATATAAGGAGGGTTGCTTAAATAGTAAAGCCTCACGTGTAACATATTGAAATAGTATTAGGGCACACATCTATACTAATATTATAAAGCTGAAGAATTTGTTTGAAAAATTAATTTGTTGTGTGCTTTACTCATTGAGCCTGTGTGCTTTAGAATCAAAGAAACACAGGGAAATTCGGGAGTGAGATTCCTTTTTGTGCATCGGTTTAAGATACCGAAAAAATATGTATAGCGGAATTATTCTTTCTAAATAAAATGTGATAGTATGTGTTTATATTTAAAGATATCACGAGAAATGAGACAAGAATGTTTGACAAGTTAGCTAATTTTAAACATATTTAAAAATACCTTAAAATTAACATCTAACATAAAACGAAATTAAAATATTTGCGTTTCTTATTTTCTTATTGTATTTCCGTTTGATTAAAGTAAAATCTAATTTATTTTCAGCGTGAGGAGTGAATATTAAAACCATCTTTATGAATTATGTATGTAATGGTAGGTATTGGAAATTCGATTTAATTCCAGGGTCACAAACAAGGGGTGATCTACTAATTT